GAACGCGATACATTAAGCCGAAGTGCTACTCATAAATCAAATCCAAGCGAACCTCCAATCACTCAGTATCCCCGGTCTCAATGATTGCCATGCTTGAACACCTTCCCTAGCCGCTCCTTCATATGTCCCATCTTATGATGGTGACTCCCCGTATCCCCCTTTCCATCAGTATCTTGGTCTATGAACCCGTTAGCTTAGCCACCGTCCACAGCTCACGCATGCACAAAACACATAAGAAGGCAAATACTAACCAGTCTTCGTCTTCGACGGCTGCCCATCCATCTCCTTCTCAAACTCATACGCATCCCGAGGCGCAGGACCCTGCGGCCCCTTCAGCGCCTCGACGCTCACCTGCTGAGTAGTAGTGGGCGGAGCGCGCTCAACCCCGCCAGGTACGCCGCCGTCGTCCTTCTGCTGCGAGCTGCTGTCGCCGTCGGGCATAGTCTGGGATCGTTGTTCGGGGGCAGGTTTCTCGGATTCAGAGTGAGTAGGTGAGTTGTTGCTGCTTGAGCTGCTGGTGGTGTCGCTGCTGCTGGTGGTGGTGGTGTCAGCCGAACTCGCAGTGGGATTCGACTGCTCCTGTGCGGGCGAGGGTTCGTCCACGGCTGGGTTGCCGGATCGGGGTTCTAGGTTGGTGTCGGGGGTTGTAGACTGCGATTTCTCCTGCGCAGCAGGTGCAGGGGATGGCTGTGGAGCTACAGGGAGAGCGGTAGCGGTCCCTGTTCCGGCACCAGCTCCCTGGTCCGAGGTGCTGTGGGCGGAACTGACGTCCGTGGGCTTGACTTCGATGGGTGTAATGGATTCGAGTGGCTCGGGGATGACGGCGGTATTGTCTTGAGTGTGGGGGGCGCCCGGTTGTTCTGTGTACGGACTGTTAGCCGCTGAGTCTCTACCCATAGCATTCAATGCCATTCAAGGCGACACCCCAATGACGACATGTCGCCATGAAGGTACTCGGAACTCACCATCTCGGTTCCCAGCGTCATATGGATCAGTGGCCGTTCCTCGACCCTGTACGCCGGAGACGGGCTCCTCGCCATGCTGAGCAGCAGATTCCGTGACTTCCTGAGGACCGAAAGCGAGGTTTCGCAAGCCATCTGCGGCATCGCGTACGGCCTTCTGTACAGACTCCATCTTCGAGGGCTGGGATGATACGACGATGTATCGCAAGCAGTTTATCTATCAACGACGAGGTCGGTAGCGTTCAACGTGGTTAGGTTATCTCTCAAGCAATGCCAAGACTTGGTAAGAGTGGTAGACGCTTAAACATAGGAACTGATCCAGTATCGGTCGAAGGTCGCTGTCTTTAATAGAGCATAACCATTTTAACAGTTTTGAGAGGCAAGAGTATGACGGTCTACGTCAGTGGAGCTGTGGCTGTTACAAGGTACAGGGACCACTAAGTGGCAGCTCTGTCAGCCGTCTTGCTGTGATTGGTTTTATCGATGATATCAGTTAGACTAGACTAAGCAATGAACTGATTCTTTGCGGCTGACTGCCAGAGATATGTCGACGATCAGCTGGGGGAATGGCATCATAGCTCTCTGGTAGCTGGGATGCCTGACGTCATAGACACGTGATATCATCACATGCAGCCGCAATAGTCAAACAGGACGACGAGAGCAGCCAAGGGTGGAGGGTTAATAACACTGTGATAAACGATAGGCTTAGACATGCATATCTCTGCAATCCTTTTGCATGGCGTCTAATCGTACCTGAATTAATGCCTGCACCCAACGTCATTTTATGGGATTACCATCCTGGGATGAATAGAGAGGAACCGTACGGACAGTAAATGTATAACGACTATCGATAAATTCAACCCAGTAGGAAGGATACACAGCAGCCTATCCTGAGTAAGCACCTTCTCCCATGTATGGTCCATGAGGAAAACAACATGCAGTTATAAAGTAGGCCCGAGCAAAGAGCGCCGCTGATTGCAGGGACGCGAGAATGAAACCAACATAGCATGAAACAATCGACAACAATAGCAATAAAGACAGAACCAAGTTTCCACATAACTCCAAGCAATGATGGATCATTTGGTCTTAGCTTCAGGGTTAAGAGGATGATCCGGGTCGTATCCGACACTCTTGACGATCCCCAAGCCCTTAGTTTTACCCTCCCGGAACAGGACTCGATCGCCAGGAGCCAAGAATTCCGGCCGTTGGATGAACCGGAAGGCAACAAGAGCTCGATCACCGGTTCGAATGAAGGGGCGGTCAATGTCGATGACCGAGCAAGTCTGACTCACTGCGCCGACGTGTAGCATTGCTTGATACTTCGGTTTGATTGTCGTAGCGTGGGAAAGAATGAGAACTTTTTCTAAGTCAGCGAGGAGAAATCATATGTGAACAGCCAGATAACAGAACGTACCCTCAGCGACAAATTCTCGGTAGACCTTGGGAGGCTGTTCCAGTTTCTTGAGAACCACCATTCCCTTACGGACTTCTTTTCTACGAACACGCTTGAGAGCAAACGAGCCAGACTGTCCCGCAAAGCAAGCATTCACCTGTATTCGCTTGCGTTCAATCGACTTGATTGTAGTTGTGGTGAATTGGCCGAGAGAATCGGGGCCCACGAGCACCGAATCGCCAGCGTGAATCACCCCGGACTTAGCCACCCCAGACACCACAGTTCCGACGTGAGGAACAGAGAAGGTATCATTAATCAGGAATTCAAACGGCGCTTCGGTGTTATACTGGCCCCGGTGAGGAAGAATGTTCAGGAAAGTCCGTACCAGTTCCAGATTCTCACCGGTGACATTGGACACTTGGAAGATGGGGCAAATGCGCTGACTGACGAATTGAGTCGCGGTGTTGATGGTCTCCTCCATATCCTTCACAAATATGGGAATCTTGCGAGCGCCGGGGGACTTCAGAATCTTCGTCAGCTGAGAGACGGTCTCCTGCAGGATCTGTGGAGGGCAGATATCGATCTTGGTGATAATCACCATGACTGGCACGTTCAGAGCCAAGGCAATACCCAGATGCTCTTTGCTCATACCAATCAGACCGTTGTTGGCTGCAACCATCAGTAGACAGTAGTTGGGGCTGCTGCTCAACATGCCAAAGACAGTGGTTCTCAAGTAGCGCTCATGACCGGCGAGATCGGAGAAAGAGATCACCTTCGCAGATCGCTTTCCGATCTCTTCCCAAGAAAGTTTGCGACCCTGCGAGCTGCTGACAATCTCGCCGTGGCTATCAAAGCCCATGATCTCCAGTCCGACGGAGCTGGTCCGGCCGCTCTCAACCTCATGCTTATGACGGAAGAGATTGATTCGCGCCCTGCCTCGTCCGTCATCGAGATTTCCCTTCACAAGAACTCCGAGCATGGTGCTCTTCCCGGCGTCAACATTCCCAACAACCGCTATTCTAATCTCAGCCATCTCCTCCACAGTCTCCGCAGGCTGGCGGATCAGGATCTTGCCCCAAGCACCCTTGATCCGGTCATTCTTGGTTGTCGACTCCTCCGGGCCTCCCACATTGTAGGTAAGCAGGATTCGACAATGCGCTGGGAGGGACTCTGCCGCCTCTCGCAGACGCTGCAGGGCCGTATTCCACTGCCCAAGGTCAAAGCCCATGGAGTCGCCACCATCTTCGAGTCCCAAGTCGAAGATGGTCTCCCCATGGCCCTCGTCAATCCGGGCCTGCAGGATACTGCCCAGCAGCCGCAGACTATCTTCTGCTTCGTCACCCGTACCGAGCAGCAGGTCTTTCAACTTGACCGTTTTCGGTGTATCGGATAGCGTGAGTTGGTCAAGGATATCCAGTTCCGCGTGGTCCTCGGGGGCTTGGGCTACTCTCGCGGTCGAGTAGCCGTTATCGTTCGGGGCCACCTGGGCCGAGCGATGCGACTGCTGCTTATCTGCATATTCTGCAAATTCGCTAAGGGCCTTGACGGCAGACAGTTAGCCGGAATTCAACGAGATTCGTCGCTAGATGACAAGGGTATCATACTATCTCGCCTCTCCGCCGCTCCTCGAGAGAGAGTTTGAGACCCTGTGGCATGACCGGGTTCAAAAAGAAAAGATCAAAGCACCGAGCAAATAGAAAAATAGAAATCTAAAGGAGACTTTTTAAACTGTACTTGTTCAATCGTGGAAAAGATGAAGTCGCCTGTGGCGCATTCAGACACGTATTCGTATTATCATAATTCCACTATGAAATGTTTGAGGCAGGCAGCGCGTGAGGACTTCACCAGGACGTAGCAAAGATCAGTCGCAAGCAATTAATCATATATAGGATCAAGTGAGAATCAGGACAGCGGGGTGGGTTGAGTCAGGCAGGTAGGAAAGAAGCGCTCAGTTGCGGGAACTGGGGAAGCTTTATCGATAGCGAGTCATCGCCGCCTCGGGGACCACGAGGAGTCCTTCGACTGAGTCACGGCGCCGCACCACATGAAGGCTGTGTCATAAGGCATATTTTCTATCTGATTCATCTAGCCATATTATTGGTGGATTGAAATCTATTTCCAGAGGTCCAAGCGATGTAATGACCGCTACTTTCATGAGGCTCTTCGTTAGGGTTATGACATAAGTCCCTGTACATCCTGTGCCATTTTATTTCCGACTTTCCACTCTGTGATGAATGGTGCAATTGCTTTGTTCGTTTGCAGAGAATATCGAAGAGATACCTAATGGCCATCGTCTGGTTCCGTGTCTGTAGTCGCAACCCAGAATATAGCAGCAGGGATTTACATTGCCCTATACCGCTTTATATTCCATCAGGTGGACTGCGTGTCGTCCCTAAACCTGCTATCTGATGTATCGCAATATCACGCCTGTGGAGAGATCAAGACAACCGAGTCGCCTGCGTAGAAAAGTTCTGGGTCAGTATGGCGGTCGAATATCGAGATTCAAGGTTTCATTTCGAGCTCACCTCGTACAAAGAGCATCTCTTCTTGCTTCTTTATTGTCTGTATTCGGCGACCGACACGTTAGCTCCCATATTCACCATCTATTGAACGCGATCACAGCCTATCGGCCATCTGGTGGGTAGTCATACTCGGATGGTCTCCTCTTCATTCTCATCTTCCTCCACCACATAGATGGTCTCCTCGACATCACCCAGCACGAGATTGCAGTGGCTATCGTATGCCTGCAAGAATACCATGTCAGATCCAGAATTGCGCAAAAGTGTGACCGGCACTCAGATTTACTCACGTGTAGACGACCCTTGAGCTCGCGATCACCGCGGAGCTTCACGAAGACGATCTCATCGAGCGAGAGGCGGACCAGATCCAAAGGTTCGGAGACAGATCCAGCGCCAGTATCCTCGGTGTCGGCCATGTCTAGGTCTAGATAGCTAGGTAAGACCGATAAAAGCTACCACCACAAAGAGGTTAGCTTGTAATTGGCGATGGTTGTGGACGACAATTCGGGAGTAGATACGCCCTGAGAGTAAAATCCGCGGGCACAGACAATCGCAGGGATTCCACGCCAAGATTGCAGCGGCCAACCAGAAGAGGGGACTGAGTGCCTTGAGGCCTTACCCCATGCATTTCCCCTCACATTGCACAAAACGCCCTGCATAGTCGCGACTTAGAGAGTGTCCTTTTCTAACATTCTTTGGTCTTTTCATCTCTTATCTTCTCTAAAATCTCCCAATTTCATCAGAATAAATTGCTGCAAAATTAGGGCCCATGAAAGCGCCTTGATATCAGCGAACTATACCCTCTCACGTGGTCTGCTCTTCATGTTTCGATCCATTATCAGCCGCTACGGGCGCTCTTATGGGTCCTCCCGACTGACGGGCTCCGCTCCCAGGCCCACGCTTTGCCAGAGACGGTCCCTGGCAAGCCATCCAGATTCATTCATCGATCCTGAATATCCAGAACATCTGGAGCAGCATCTCGATCACCATCAGAATCATCAAAGAACTCCAGGTTATCACCGGGAGAATGCACAACTATTGTCTCAATTTCACGCAATCAGATCTACGCTGAGCACAGTCAGCGTGTCACCGGGTGACCATGCTGAAGCACAGAAGACAGTGCCAAAAGAGCTCGAAGATGCATTCTTCTCGATTGTCCGAGAGGGTCAACCGGACCTGGTCATGAACGCATTACTCGATCCCAAGTTTGAAGTCGTCGTTGGATCGTTACCTGAGAGCACCTTTGTAGAAGTCTTTCGCTTGCTGTCTCCTGCCTACTTTATTGATCCGTTTCGAGCGATTTATCGCGCGTTGCATCCGTCTGCCGTAGCGCTCAAAGGTTACCGGCAATTGGACAGAATCTTCGATAAGTTTGCTTGCAATCTTGCCTCGGTCGTCTCGATCAGACGGTCGGCGGGTCACACACTTGGGCTGGCAGAGTACACCCATCTCCTGGACTGTGCACGGTCTACCGGAGATGCGCTGATGGCTGACCATGTATGGCATGCCATGATTCAGGACGACGTTATCCCTGATGTGCATTGCTACAATTACTACATGGAAGCCAAGATTTGGAATGGGGCCTACACTGGTCGAGAGAAGTACCATCTGCGAATAACGCCGTTCGCTTACCGTAAGCGACGCTTCGACGACCCAAACTTGGGATGGAAAGGCTATGGGACTGCCAACCGCAGCGTCCGTAAGGAGGTCATGCAAATTTTGAGCGAGATGACAGAAGAAGGCACTTCGGGCGACGAGGCTACTTACGTGAATGTGATTCTGGCGGCTTGCAGGGTGGGAAACGTGTCAACAATGAAGCACGTGTTGAAGACGGTTTGGAACGTCGACATTGACGCCCTGGCGGCGCAGGGAGACCCATCCACTCTCCCTCGTCCCAGGGAATACGATCGTTCATCGCCTCTGTATCCAAGTAGTCGCCTCTTGTTCGCCGTCGCACACGCCTTTGGCAATAACAACGACATTTCCGGAGCCATGCGGGCAATCAGCTTCATATCCAGCTCTTACGACATTCCGGTCCCAGAAGAGGTCTGGCAAGAGCTACTCGAGCGGTCCTTCGTACTTTCTCGCCCCCGTTTCGGTCAGGATGCCCAGCGCAATGCAAAAGGGAAGGTTCCATATGAGTTTCTAACCGCCGCGGTCCAAACCATGAAGTCGGAGCCTTTCCACGTCCAGCCCACCGTGGAGATCTACCAAATCCTGGCCAAAACAGCGTGGGATCAGGCCAAGCTATCAGATTTCAGGCAGTACATGGAGTCAGCATACGCGATTCTCGAAGAGACCCGACGCAAACGCCGAACGGCCCGAGCGATCGTCGAAAACTACCTGGGTCCACCTCAATCGGAGGCGAGAGCCTCGCAACCCGGCGAGCCGTGGTTCGACCTCACACTGCTCCAGTCTCGAGCATTTGCCGAGGCAGTGCATGCATACGACGTTCTTCGCATGCGCACTGCCCAGCAGACCATCATCATGGAACGCCTGGCGAAATTGCTCATCATACACCCTCGCTGGGTCGGCCGCGACAACCCTATTTGGGAGAGTCAACTACTTCCCCGCGTGATTGAAGAGTGGCAGGACTTCCTTCCCGAATCAGTTTCCGTTCAGATCAGAGGCGGAGACGTCCAATTCCACGGAGAAACTTGCTGGGGCGATCCCCTACTCAACATACACAAGAGGGTACCAGTCCGCCGGCCGACCGTCGACAACGGCCTGGTCCTCGACGAAGACGCCCGGGAACTCGACGACGACTTCTTCTGGGCGCGCTACCCTGCTAAATTGCGAGAAATGGCGGCCCCTGCTCTTGCGCGGTTGTTCTCGGGAGTGACAAAACGGCTTGCCAACCCAGTGAGACGGAGACCTGTCTTAGAAGGAGCAGTTGAAGCCGACGTGGTGGACGAACGGGCTGGAGCTTTGCCTCATGCTGCGGAAACGGAGCCCCCCTCGCAGAGGCCGCCTGGGTGGACTGCGGACGACGAGGATGTCTTTGAGCCCACAACTGGTCCTCTCGTTGTTGCTTGAGTGACCGCTCATGTTACGGCGCCTTACTTGTACAATCCATCTCGACCTGGACCATGCTGTTTTTTTCTATTCTTCAGCTCCAGATGCTTACCATATACCCCCTTCATAGCGTATGTATGCCGTGTTCTGCTTAAAGATCACCGATACCACTTTTCATGTCATCGTCCATTTTTTATTTTTTCTTGTCAATCGGTGTCCTGATGTTAATCCGATACCCATTTGTGCAAATATACAAGTAGATACAATCGAAATCGGCTCCCACAACGGAGATTATACACAGTCATACGCTCACCCTCCTCAAATCATTAACAACCATATACCTCCCCAGCGTAATCCACCCATACCGAAACCAGACCATCTGACTCTTATGAGCCTTGACCATAGCCGCCTGCGCGCGGATATACTCATCCACAGAACTGATGAAGAGCAGTTTACCCGGCATATCATCCTTCCCACCCTTGGCCGCACCAGCAAAGATCGACCCCAGCGCCCCGCTCGCCATCGTCCACGGCGCATCCAGGACCCCAATGTACTTCCGTAGGATACTCGTCGTGGTAAGCGTGTACAGCGTCACGGGGCACGTATACCCGGCCTTGTCCTTCATCAGGACACGGAGGAAATGCACAGCGCCGTGGTACAACGAGCGGTGGTTGGGGTGGTTGCTGATACCATGTTTATCGAAGGTGATCAAGACGTCGATGGTTGCGGTCGGGGCGCCCGTTCCAGCCACTCGTTTCCTGGCAGCGGATGAGGACGACTGAGACTGCGACTGCGACTGCGAGGCGAGATCGGGGGCGAAGGCGGAAGCCAGCAACGAGGAGACATCGCTCTCGGACCAGGTGGCTGTCATGCTATCTGGGAAGCGGCCGGGGTCGTCGATGATGAAAACGTCGGACTCGGCGCGGAGGCCGAGGTGTTTGGCGCTCTGTTGGAGCTCCTTTTTGCGGATGTGGCCGAGGCCGTCGGCGTCTCCTGAGGGGATCTGGGTTAGGGAGTTTGATCGGGGAGAGCGCGCGGGGTTGGGGGAAGCGTACCGCTGCTCAGACAGAGGATCTTCACATGATTCCCCAGCTCCGGTTTGGTCAATGCCAGCACCGTGGGGGAGAAGAACATGGCCTCATCGTCCGGGTGGGCGATTAGCAGGCATATCCGTTTGTTGAGGAGACGGGGGAAGTTGCGCGCAAAGGGAGACGAGCTGGTTGAGGAGAGGGTCCAGAAGAGGAAGATGGCGGAGAGGGTCAGGCCCCATGTCACCAGCGACGCGGTGAGCATGGTAGGGAGGATTTGAGGAGAATAAAGCTCTGCAGCTGTTCAATTATGCGCAAGATCAATTGACCTGCCCCGCAACCTGAGGTTCAATTGATGTAATGCAAAGCTGTCGGTGTCAGCTCAGACGTTTGCGGATTGCAGGTGGGGATTCCGCATCATCAGCTCCACCGGTCAGTCTCAGCTTCTCATTCTCTGTCTGCTATCCTCAGCAATGATAGTAAACCACATGAATCCAAAGACTGAGCTGATGTTCCACAGGGGCGAGAGTCGATCGCCCAATGGCAAATAGACACGGTGGCACAAATGAAAAGGGGAAGCGATCTGGCTCTTGGTGCAACTCCAGATACGTTCCCCTGGCGATCTGCGGATAAGGTCACGTGATCATGACATTGGACTCTTGTGACTGCTTCAATCCTTCGACTTCGCTTGATGCAAGGTTAGTGCGTCTATACAGTGTATACTGGCTTTACTTTTTTATGTGCGATATAACTGCCAGTATTAACCGCGCATTGAGAGGTTCCATTCTTGGTAGCGCAAACTGATCACGGAACAGTGGTTTTTGTAAGGGTTAGATGCAGCTTGAATGACCTTCATGAGATATAAAAGTAAACAGACCTACAATCGCCGTCATTTTCGGAGACTGAAAGGGACATAATATCGAGGTCGCCGATTTCCTAGCTGAGATCCGAAGTGCATAGAGGCCTCCTCTCCGACGTAATGACAACTATCAAAATTGCCAATGAGGAAGACAATGGCAAAAATGACACAATATTAGACAATAGTCTGATAGAAGTTGCCCATAACTCCAGCTAATGGCATGATCTTCCGCGTAATGTGCTGAGACCATTCATCAGGTAGTTAGTTAACCGATATCGCTCTGTCATCACGGCGTACCGACATGAGTCGCTTGAGAAGCCATCGGCGGCCTCCGCCAATTGACCCAAAGAAGGAAAATTGATGGTTCCAAGTCAGGTCCCGTCCGCGTCTAACCACGGTCCAGATTCGTCTGATGATTGATGAAATGAGTGATTTACGGTGCACGGGGCAGGATTGAAAAAGAATTAGTCTACTGTATGGTGTGAAAAATTATGTTGAAAATAAACTAAACTGA